ATCGCTTGAAGTTATTCTTAAAAAACTAATAGAAAACTTTAAAAAAATAAAWAAATCTTTTAAAATAACATTTTTGAAAATTTAAATATTTTAAACATTAATAATTTTCATAACAGTGAACAATTATATATTTTTCCATATTTTCTGATGTCATTGAAGTTCTTTTTTCAGTTAGAATTGACTTATACGTACTAAAAGACCTTTCTACATCCACCGAAGTTATCGGTGCAAACTTCATACATGAACACATAGAAGGAGTTAAGTTCGGTGGCATGATACTGTTTTCTTTCCCTGACAAAATTGCTGTTATCTGCTTCGCGGTTTGGAATCCAACATTTTTTTCAATTAAATATAACAATTTTTCTTGAATTATTTTTCCTTTTTGTCCTGGTACTTTTTCCATCGYCAAAATAACATTATTTACAATTTGAATAGAATCACACAAAGTTAAACTAGAATGTTCCAAATTGTTTATACTTTTCACTAGTATAAAAAAATGAGATTGAATAAATGTAAGGTCATTTTTAACAGACTYCAAACTTAGCATATTATTACATTTTTGTATACTAACAACAGTTTTATCTTCTAATTTCTGTAAAATTATTTTRAGATTATCTAAATGGTCTGCACAAAAATTAGCTGCTTTAATCCATGTCCCCCATCTGGTTAATACTGGTTCTGGCGGCAAAGGCACACTGGGCATTATTTCTTTGTATACATCTAYTCTCTGAGGTGCTTTAAGAAATACTTTTTTTAAATTACTAACTAAAGTATTTACATTGGGGTACATTTCTCTAACTTTTTCTGCTAGACGCTGGATCATGTGAGCAAGACATGAAATGTGTATCATATTAGGAAAAAATACGTTTAGTGTTTTACCAGCTTTGATCATATATGGTGCTGCATCGGAACATAAAAGTAATACTTTTTCATCATTCCCTYCATGAGGCCACAATATTCTCAGACTGTCATTTACGAAGCGAGAAATTGTCGAATGATTAGTTTTATCTAATTTTTTGCATGCAATTAAAAATGGTTTACTAGGACTTTGTTCGTTTAACACAMCAACCAAAAGGTTTGCAATATAACTACCGTTGATATCTGTAGTTTCATCAACGACTAAATATATATACGAGTCCCCAATTTTTTCTCTAATTTTTTCAATTGTT